GCCAAGACGATGGCTGCAGCCTTATGCTGCACACCATTACGTCTGATTTGACGTGGCCATGGGGGTAAAACGGAATCGGCACAGCGACGGAGTACACGAATGAAGAACCCTTGTATTTTTGACAGAAGTATTCGTATCCCCAAAATGGAATCCCGGGCTGCTCGGTTCGCTTTATCTATCCATGTACACCGAACTGCGGTGGAAAGTGCGAGTACCAAATTTGGAGGTACAGAGTTTTGGAGAAAGGACGAAAGGACGAAAGGGCGGGATGGCGTCATGAGGCCTGGCCCAACCAATGTCTGAGTTCGGAGGCAGCTGACTTGGTGACCCGGTGCCGACGCTTCGTCTCACCCCTCTGCTGACAGCCACCACCGCACAATGAGATTGTTTGTGTGTGAGAGACTCTTGGGTTTTGCTTCATTTTGTCCGAAATTTTGGTGGTTTCTATTAAAGCTTGAATGTGAACATAATGTTGAAACTGATACCAGTTGCATCAAGGCGAACTCCTTGATCCCATGCGCCGATACAGAGAAAGACCAACTCTAATTAGAATCTCAAAGATTCTCAACCAAGAAATCACCAGTTCAAAACTAGGTAAGAGCGGTATATTTGAATGCATGCGCATGTTGGGTTACGTCAATGTCTTCACCGAAGAGTGCTCTATTACCTACTTTCTCCACGCCAATTTGGCGCATTCAAGTGCAAGCGATAGGAGAGCCTTTGAAAAGCAATTTATCGGTATTTCCAAGTGAAAACATGATCGAAGGCCTGGAGGACAATTGAGTGATACAGCTAGTACGAGTAATGACTACCGACATGAAGGGCAACGCAGTATGAGATGACAATCTCTATATCCGTCCATCACTTCGCCCCAAAACAATAACCTTGATAAAACATTCCAAAGCCCAAAGTCATATAAGATTGCCAGAGAAGTTCATTGTTGACGAATGAAATATGTCGTAAACGAAGGTCGGGGCTGCGATGCTACAAACAGAAATGCCGTGCCCAATGATCGTCACGCAGTGCCTTGCATGAAGGCAGTATCCAATGAAGCACCGTCAGCAAAAGTCTATCTCAAATCGAAGCCAATGAAAATGATGCCCTGCAATTTCTGACGAGAGCCTACGCCGATGCTAATGTCAGTTCTCATATTCAAGGCATGATATCTGGAAGAGAAAGGGGGAGAGAAACTCACGCTGAGGCTTGCCCATGCAATATCATCCAGCCAAACGGGTTCCCTCCTACCAAAGAAAGAGACTCTCTCAAGCAGCTGTCGAAGACACTTATCCTCGACCGCGCCGAAAGTCCACATATCGTAGAGAGATTTAAGAGAGGAAAACAAAGAGAAAAACGTATATCCGTCATATCCATCCATAACCCCTCTCATTCATACCGTATAAACCCATGCCTCCTCAAAATCCTCTCATACTCCCTAATCCTCTCATCCCGTCCCGCAACAACACACCGCTGCTCGTGCAACTCCCTCCTCAACCGCCGATTCTGCTCCTCCACGCCATCATATTTCCCCTCCCACGCACGCACAATCCTCCTCAACTCCTCAATCCTCTCCCCCACCCCGTGGCCCAACCCGTGTCCAAAGTGATGGTGATGCCCATGCCTCAACCGCGCCGCCAGTTCCCTCTCGACCTTTTGCAGCTTATGCCTCAGCCTCTCCACCTCCTGCAGATACTTCCCCGCGTTCCCGCCCGAGCTCTCGATGGTCCGCCGCAGACTGGCGTTGTCCTCGCGCAGGAGCTGGTTCTCCGCCTGCGCGGAAATAAGCAGGGCCGAGAGGCGGCGGCCCTCAACGTCCGAGGCTCGGAGGTCGCATTTCAGGGTGTAGTTTTCGCGGGCGAGGGCGTCGTTTGCTTCGCGGAGCTTGCGCTCGCGGTCTAGGAGGTCGTTGTACTCGGGCGCGGCGATGTGTGCGCAGTCGTCGCGGCAGCAGTGGTGGACTGGTGGTGGAGGTGGAGGTGCTGGGGTCGGAGTCGGACAGGGGGCCGGGGCCGGAGCCGGGTCTTCATGGTGGTGGTGATGGCGGTGATGATGGTGGGAGCGGGAGCGTTTGAGGGAGACGAATTGGTATTTGCCGTCTGGGGAGGTTTCGAGGTACCACCGGCGGGTGGCCATGCGGTCTGGAGGGGGTTGTGGTCGTAGACTAGGTGGTATTTGATTTGTTTCTCGAGATGTTTGGCCAGAGGGGAGAGACTGGACGTGGTGGTGGTCGTCGTCCGTATAAGTCGAAAAAGGTTTGCTGTGAGGCTGTCTAAGTTTGAAGTTGAACTGAGAGGTTTCGCAAGAACAGTATTCAGAGTTTTCGGTTCAGAATATTGGACGAAGACGAGAGAGGGCCGGGAACCGACAGGAGTTCAACAAGGGGCGGATCGAGGCCTTGATATGGAGATCTGAGGGATAAAGACAGCAGACCACGAGAGCCCCGGGGCCGACATGCAGGTGATCAGCGCAGAAGACTACCCCGTCTCGCAATACCAACAAGGGCCCATAAGACGGGGGCTGCATGGCGGAGCGGGAGCGGGTAGGGCTTCGTCTTGAATTTTCTCTAGGTTTCCTAACCTGTTCTACCTTGTTTGATAGGGTGCCTCCCTAATCCTGAGGGGGTGTTTACTGTGTAAGTGTGCCCTGGCCCAAGGAGGAACTTGGGGTCCCAGAGCTCTGGGTACGTTCGTCACTAGACTGGAATCTCGCCGTCTTTCGTACATTTCACTAGGGAAAAGTAGGCGCAGGAACGGCTGCGAGTCATCGGAGGAGGAGGCAACAGGGCACGAGGCTCAAGCGCGTGGGCGGGAGAAGGAATGGGCGCCGACTCGGTGGCTGACGCGCTGCCGTTGGAGGTTGCGGACGGATGAGGGAACTGGTACGAACTGGACCCTGAAGGGTAGTAAACAATACAGATAGACTATATTCGTGCCTTAGCTATAGATGGACACCTATTTTTCCTTTCTTCCTCTTGGCTGCTCATACTAAGGCAAGGTACCCTGCAAGGCAGATGGTGGGTGGAGCCGGGGGAAAGAGGTCGGGTGTGGTGTACAAAGTTGAGGCGCCCTCGACATTGAGGAGGATTTAGGTTGTCGGGTGCCCGTTTGGCTGACCTAGTTGTGAGTCCGAAGGCGAGGTCATGTAGACGGCCTCACAAGTTGTGCGCGGTGAGACTTGGGTGGTCGTTTGTGGTGAGCGCATGAGTGGCATGTCTCACGAGCCAGAAGGGGGGTGGAGGGGTCATTCGGGGCCAGCTCCGGGGGGGACTGAGCTATGAACCTGGCGGCGGTTCATCCCGGGAGGTTTGCTTGCGGGCCTCGCGGGATTAGCTGTTTAGTCAGAGGTCAGGTTTGGTCTAGGCTGCTTGAAGGCTGCATGAAACGGAAAAAAGGGCATAGAATGAGGAGAGTACAAGGGCGGGGTTGATTCTTTGTGGTCTAGATGTTGGTCCGTGAAGATGTCGAAGTTGGAGGTGTGACAGTGGACAGTTGGGGTGGAATTGGAGATCTCAAGGGTACCTTACCTTAGGTACGTACAGCGTGGTTACGTTTTGGCACGTGGAGCAGGCGCATTGCGGTAAGCAAGCGCCGCCATCGGAGAATACAGTGCCTAAAAGCGCCTTTCTACCATAATCCAGTCACAACACCGTACAACCCTTGCTGTTCACCGCGGCTGCGCTTGGGCTGCCTCTCCACATCCCGGTACGTATCTATTCTTCATGACCACCACCACGAACAACATTCTTTGGCAATGGCCCTTTTGTCTTACACGGCCGAGTACACCGCCTCCACGAGGCTGCCATATTGAAACTCGCAAGTTCGGTCAGGCACACTCATATTAGGATTGTACACTTTAACCTTGGTTGGCTGGCTACTTGGATGACTTGCCCGTTTTCCAGTCATGTCATGTCTCAGAGGACTGGGAAGGGTGCTATTCCTATAAACCTTGGATGAAGTCGTTTGGTCATCTGCTACACTTCATCAAGCGAGGCAACCAGACAACCGTATCCTATTCTGTCGTCACGCTTTCGGAATATCCTACTTCTTCGCGCTGATGCCCTCTGTAGTGAGTCTTGTTGCCTGGTGCTGAGAATTCGCTATTCTGTAGCCTTGTTGGCGGTGGCGAATACACCATGACAAGGTCTGATATTTGGGGGCCATGAACGTCTGGTATCATCTTTCCGAGCCTCCCAAATGTGATGACACCCAAGCTGGCTCCATGAGGCGGAGCGAACATGTGGTCATTGCTCGCTTCCCAAGCATTTCCGGCAAGGAAATCAGACTTGACGATGCTGTCAAATCCTTCCTTACCTTTCTCGACCACTCCAGACATGACATTCTAGCGAACCAAGAAAGGATATGTGTCTTTTTTTGCGTGGAGATGCCTTGAGCAGAGAAGTGATTTATTCCGGTTAGGCCGCTGGTGGCCTCTTCCTTCCTCGTAATACACGAAGCAGAAAGGACGTAAATACTTCTCGGCCACGGAAAAAGCGATAACCAACTTTTTAAGCACCGTAAGTTGGCTATTTAACTGTGCCGATGGAATGAGAATGGAGAGAGCGCCTGTGAGCAGATCCCAGAGACTCGCCGTATCCCGACTACACGACGCAGACACTACCTCTGTATACCAAACATGCCATCATTTTCCACAACCAGAAGCTCTCATCCCGTCAACCCCTAAACTTTCTGTCTTTTTGGGAATGCGTGGAGCCACGATATGCAAATATCCACTTCACTTGATAAAAAAACAGTCTTCCATCACAAGGCCGACGCATGAAAACCTTTATCCAACATTTCACATCACACCACGTTACAGCATCCGCGACCGCCAGATTCCCTAACTTAATCTTATTCAAGAGCTAGGTAGATGAATAATCCATACGTGTAAGTTTCACCGTTCAAGCGAGCGTCGAGAAAAGAAAAGTAATCAGGTTTCATCCGCGGGGAAACCCACAGGAATCTGTAGAACCCCCTTCTTCGGCCAAGGCCACCCAAGAAGCTGTCCTACTTCTTGCCAGCCTGCTGTCCTCCCTGCCCAGCACCGGCGCCAGCACCGCCCTGTCCCTGTCCACCGACCCCGGCATTGGCGTTTCTGTCGCCCGCGCCCTGGGCTCTGGCGGCGAAGCCGCCCGAGGACATGTCTTTGCCGCCCTTGTCCTAGATTGAAAATTGTTGAATGTTAGTATCAGCAGACCATAGTCTTCACCGAGTCTCGTCCAGCTGGCATCGAGACCCTGATTATCTCAGGCAGTGAGGTAGAGACCACGGGAGGAGGGGGGAAGTGACGGACCTGGCTGGACTGGATGCGGGAGGCATCGTCTTTGGTCATCTGGTTGGGCATGGTGACGGATATCGCGTTGTTTGAATGTTGAAAGGTTGATCGAGTTGATGGAATGGTTGAGGAGAGCGTGAAGACGAAGTGTGTGATGTCTGGATGATCTATCGAAAAGAAGGACCCAACTACCGAGACGACAGACGCAGCTTCTTATAGACATTTCCGTCTTCCTCTTCTCATCACATGAAATGCAACAAATGCCTCAAGCACGTAGAGCAAACTTCATCACCATCGCGCCATCACTATCCCGTCGTCACCATCATCGTCGCCATCTCTTTCACCGCTTCATCTCAAACTCACAAACGCAACCAAAAAGAAACGAAATCAACGTCGTCCACCACTCCTCTTCCAAGCGTGGCACTCAAATGCAACCAGCTGATCCCGGTGACCTACCTCCCCCCCCGCTCCGACGAGACATCGCTGGAAGGCCTCCGGCGCCTCAACGAAACGCCACGCCCGTTCCGCAAATCCGTTTGGCTACAACCTAAAAAATTTAAGCACTCCCAAACGCATCTCACATCACACAAACAAAGCGCTGAGAATGACGCGGAGGGCGGGAGGCGGGAAGCAGCGGTCAATCAGTGGGGTGTGGCCCTCACGGGAAAATGGGTTGACATGTGCCGTTGCTTTGGTGGTTTGGACGACAACTACTTCAATTATGGCCATCCAAACCTTAGTACCCGATTGTACCTCGCCCCAGCTTCCATCTCATATCCCCAGCGCGGGGTATGTTATCCGGCAAAGAGGTCATCCATCACCGAGTAAAGATCAAGTATCGTGTCATTCAATGGACGCTCGCCACTCTACAAAAGAGTGGTATAGGAGCAGCAGTACTTTGGGTTGCTTTTGTATTTGTTCAAAACATTCAGGGGGTGGAGTGGCAATGACTTTCAAGCCAAGACAAACACCCATGCAATGCCTAGTAAGTGCGCCCTCTCTCCCTCTATCTCTCTTCCGCCGAACCCTTTTGCCATCCGACGACATCATCGCACGCATGCCAGTCCCTAAAGCCTCCTCTTCCTCTATGGGCATGACGAAGGAAACCAAGACACCAATGCCGTACAGAGGGGGCCTCTGATCGCAAACCACAGGTAAACCATTCCGGAAAGAAAAAAGCGCCCTCTCTTGTTTGGTGCTCTGGCTTCCCTTCTCAACAAGACTTCTCGTCTTGTGGAAAGACGAAAGGTCCCGCATGGAAGCCAGGCCAACAGCCTTTGCATGCTTCTAATGCTGTTTTTATATGCTCCCACACTCTCATGGTATTCCAAAACCTCCCCTTCAGCTTCAGCTTCAGCTCTCGGCAGCCTTGAGCTCCTCGTCGACCTGCGCCCTGACAACCTCCCGCACCTTTTGCCAATCGTTGACAATCTCCGTCACCCTCTTCTCCTTGTCCTCCAAGCCGACGAATTCTGACGGCAGCACCTTGGCCTTGAAGTCGAAGCCCTCCTCGTCCTTGAGAGCCAGGTCGACGGCGCCGGCAAACTTGGCCGGGTGGGCCGTGGAGAGCGAAATGTGCGGCACCTCTGCGCCGGCGCGGCTGACGGAACGCTCCGAGGCGGACACGCCAATGGCGGAGTGGGGGTCGAGGACGTAGCCAATCTTGTTGTAGTAGCTCTTGATGGTCTCGACGGTCTGGGGGTCGCTGACGCGCTCGCTCTCAAAGTCGCGGCGGGCCGAGTTGAGCACGTCCTGGTAGACGGGGCCGAAGCCGCCCTTTGTCTTGAGGTCCTTGAGCCACGAGGACACCTCCTGGCCGGCCTGCCTCTTGTTCCACTCGTCGTCCATTCCCGCGCTAGAGGCGAACTCGTAGGCCAGGAACCACAGCAGGCGCTCAAAGTTACTTGAGACGAGAATGTCCATGGCGGGGCTGAGCGTCTCCTTGACGCCGTCCTCGTGCGCCTTGACGCCGTCTTGGGCCAGGCCACCGGCGGCTTCCGCAGGCGGGGCGGGCTGCTTCTCGTACTTTCCGGTCGTCCAGAATCTGTGCAAAATGTCGTTCTCGTTGGTCGCGATGACGAGCTTGTCGACGGGCAGACCCATGCGGTAGGCAAAGTAGCCGGCGAGGATGTCGCCAAAGTTACCCGTGGGCACGACGAAGCGGACCTTGTCGCCGAGGTTGAAGGTCTCGGAAGACTTGACGAGGGAGAAGTAGGAGTGGAAGTAGTAGACGATCTGGGCCAGGATACGCGCCCAGTTGATGGAGTTGACGGCACCGAGGTTGTGGGTCGAGTTGATGTCGGGGTCGGCGAAGAGAGCCTTGACAATGTCCTAGGTGACTCGGGGTTAGGGTGCCGTTCGGCAAGGGGTTATGTAGGCGCGCGAGAAAAGACTTACTTGGCAATCGTCGAAGGTGCCAGTGACAGCCAGGTTGTGGACGTTCTCGTCCAGGACGGTAGTCATCTGGGCCTCCTGGATGGGGCTCACGCGACCCTTGGGGTGGAGGATGAAGACGGAGACATCCTTCTTGCCTCGCAGACCGTAGATGGCGGCAGAACCGGTGTCACCGCTCGTGGCACCGACAACAGTCAGATGATGTCTGTCTGCGCAACGTGTTAGCTAGTCCCCACATGTGCCAATTGCCATTGCATGGTATCTTTTGAGGCCGTGGCGGCCCGCAAGGTTCCGGAGACGAAGAGGCGCATAGCATACCCTTTCCAGTCTTGCCCTCGTTCTTGCGCACCAAGAAGTACTCAAACAGGTTGCCGAGGAACTGCAGAGCAACGTCCTTGAAGGCAAAGGTGGGGCCGTGGAACAGCTCGAGGAGGTAGAGGTTGTCGTTGAGGTGGCGGAGGGGGGTGGTCTCGGGGGCTCTAAAGGTGGAATAGCTTCGGTCGATGATGCCCTTGAGGTCGGCGGAGGGGATCTCGGAGGGAGAGATGTACAGAGACAGGATCTTGTGGGCGAGGTCGGGGAAGGCCAGGTCCTTCCAGGATTGCCAGTCATCGACCTGGGGGATGTGCTCAGGGATGAACAGGCCGCCATCGCTGGCGAGGCCCTTGAGAACGACCTCCTCGAAGGAGAACTGGAATTGTATGCGGTCAGCAGCTGCGTGGCCTCGAGCACCATATCTAACGGTGCGCGCGCGCGCCGAGATGAAGCTGGCTCTTGGAGGAAGCAGAGGTATGCGCAGGCGATGGAGGGGAGAAAGGGGCAATATCATACGCCGCTGTCCTCTCCGCGGGTGCTGAGATACCGCTGGGAGGTAGTGTGGGTGGTGTTGGCGGCGGCCTCGCCTTTGGTACCGTTGGTGGCCATGGTGATAGCTGCGTCTGCGTGTGCGTCTGCGATGTGCGGTATGCGGTGAAGGAGGGGGAGTTGAGGTGGAATGGGCAGAATGAAAGATGGGGGGCGGGGGAGAAGCCCAATGGCAGCACAGAAAAGAGGGGAAGAGAGGGAAGAAGACGGCAAGAAAAGCTCGTCTCTTGTCTGCCGAAAAATGCACGATCTCTTTGGTTTAGAGGTAGAGAGAGAAAAGAGGATGGCGTTGAGATCTTGGAAGCATTCGGACGAAAATGGCAAGAGAAAAAAAAAAGAGAGAGAGGGCGAGTCACACACACACCAGCGGCACTGCGGTAGCAACGACCTGGACAACAAGCGGCCGAAAGTCGGTCTCGACGAGTCGGTCACCCCTCAAAGGTGGCCCGGTGTTGTGGGCGGTCCCGTTCCTCCTCCGAGTTCACTGTGACTGTGTGACAGCGTCTGCCCCTGCCCCTCCTCTCTCTCAGTGACTGAGTCCAGTGTGAAAAATTTGCCCCGCACCAAAAATGAAGGGTGCCAAAGAGGCGCGGGGTTGCCCATGTCCACGTTACACCTTGGACGGTGTACTACGAGTATGGTACATAGGTACTTACGTAGTAGTGTACATACTTAGGGTAGGTACTTAGCAAACTGACATAATTCAACGATGACGGGACGCCAAGGGGCCGGGATTGGTGGGTTATGGAATGCTCAAATCGCGCAGTCTCATTGGCCAATGACTGCCCTGGCGTTTCCTTCCAGATGGCGCCTTCATCTTTTCGTCGACAGGGGACCGACCGCTGACCGTGCGTGCTCCTGACCATCCAACATCCAACTTCCACCCTGCCCATCACCATCATCTGCTCTCAGCTCGTCTCATCCTTGAAGAGCCATGATAGCGTTCGCTTTCGAGAAGTGGCACGTCGGCGCTGCAGAATCCATTCAGTCGTGCCGCCTCAGACATGCAAAAGCGTATGCCCGCCGACTGTCCACCAATATCCCTAGTGACTACCCCTCCATCACCCCTCTTTCCCAATGGGGCTCGTGGCATGTCAAAAGTCAATAGAACCATCGCGCTGCTGCACGGCGGCTGATGGTGCCATTTGCTTCCCATTCCTTCAGTATGACTCAGCTAAATCATAAGCCACATGTGTTGTCAACTTGAATTTGCGAAAAAGAAATCTCAAGAACATCTGGAGAGGCCTTTGGAACCGCCCAAGCGCATTATCATTGTTTCGTAATGTGATACCGCAAGACATCCTGTCTCACTCGATGGTACTCGACTGCGAATGTGGTCTATGGAGGCGTGCCGCATCACCCGATAAAATAGCCAATCGGCCTAATTGACCTCGACGAATACCCCCGAAACATGAAGCATAAGGTACTGCGTGTCATCCGGATACCACCCGAATATTCCTTATATCGCTTGCCCTCGAACGCCTGTTGCCCATGTCATTGGGTATCTTGTGAGGAAATGAGGTGAAAATATCACAGACCATGGCGCCGTCCATCCCTTGAAAACCGCTGCAAGGCTCAATCGATGCCCCCTCACTTTTTGAGCGACTTGAGCAACGGCGCAATCCTCGACCTCTTGCTCAGTCCCACCCGATAGATGGGCTTCGTCGCCGACAAAGGCGCTGGCGTCGACAACCTCTGCTTTCCCTCTGCCTTACCCGACGTCCCAGACTTGTCGCCATCCGCCTGCGCAGGAGTCTCCTTCGTCGCCGCTCCTTTTCCCTCTGCTGCCGCGCTCTTTTGCGGTCCCAGTCCGTCGGAACCAGACTTGCTGAGCGCCGCATTAGGCGTCACTGGCTGCAGCACCCGATCGCTGCCGCCCTGTTCTCGGGGCCCGCTACCCGCATCTGCTGTGCAACCTTCCTGCTGCTGCGCATCGACGTGCTCGCCGCGGCCCTTGGAGCGCTTTGCCGCCTTGCCTGATGGGGCGTCACCCGCATGCTCCACTTCAGGTGCATGCGGCTTCTCAGTCGCTTGCTGCACGCTTTCTGATGCGTTGTTGTCTGCCTTCTTTGGCCGCCCGCGCTTCTTCTTGGTGGTCGTCGGTGTGGCTGCCGTTGCGGCCTCTGTTCCTGCGGCAGCATCCTTCACCGTCTCGCTTGTATCGGTAATCTGTGGCATAGTCGAGGTCTCGGCCGGTGCTGGGCTCTCTGATATAGCCGTGTCCGACTTTCTCGGCCGTCCTCTCTTTTTTGGTTTCGTCGTACTCGTTGAAGCGGGCTCTTTTAGGGAAGCGGGCTCTTTTAGGGAAGCGGGCTCTTTTAGGGAAGCGGGCTCTTTTAGGGAAGCGGGCTCTTTTAGGGAAGCGGGCTCTTTTAGGGAAGCGGGCTCTTTTAGGGAAGCGGGCTCTTTTAGGGAAGCGGGCTCTTTTAGGGAAGCGGGCTCCTCGAGGGGCAATTGCGCGGCTGGGCCCATATCAGCCACGGGAATCTCAATCTTCCCTGGCATTTCAGCCTCGTCCTGTCGGCTAGAGTCACTACCTCTGCGTCGACTGACACGAGGCTTGTACGATTCTCGATGGAAACCAATGTCGTCGGAATCCCAGCCTTCGTCTTCCCGGTGAGACTCTGTCGTCTGTGGCGGTTCGTCCCTCACGTTCCTTCTTTTCCGACGGACCGATGCTGCAGATATGATATCCGGGGATGATTGTATCTCTATTGTTGCCTCTGGATCAACTGATGTCCCGAAACCTTGCTGAGTCTGCTCTTGAACCGTGTCCAGTGTAACATGGCTTTCGGCATGCGCTGGAGGCAAGCCAATCGCTCTCGTCTGGCTCGGCGTAGAGTATGCGATAGTCGTGGCTCCGCTGGACCTAGCCGCAGCTTGCATGGTCGAAAACGGCTGCGTAGGTGTAGGTGCTGGATCTTCCGGAGACGGGCCAACTGAGTGGTATTCATATTCCAACTTTTGGCTTGCGCTCAGTGTTTGAGACTCGATGTACATCGAAACAGGCTTCTGGCCAGAGACGAGGTCGCCAAACGACGGTACCGCGGCTGCGTGTGGGACCACCACCATGTCAACGTCGTCTTCCTCGGCCGGTAACGACGAATCCGGGTTCCTGAGTTTGGCCCTCTTCCCGTTCTCCATCCTCGCGGCGGCCGGGGTAGTGTCGAACGGCTGCGTGGAGCCCTGCGAAGGCATATCGATGGCCACCGGGGACGTAAACTCCACGTTGTTCACTCGCTTTCTTTTCGTCCCGCTGGTTGAGGTTCTGCTCTTTGCGAGACTGGCGAGAGGCGCTCGGCCGCCCCCGACGGGGCTGCTGGGAACATCCCACATATCGTCGGGAGTCGCGTGGGCAACAGTCATCTTGGGCGACGCTGTGACTTCCGTAAGGTCCACCACCTCTGGTTCCCTTTCCTCGGCGCTGTCCAACCCCGCAATGAGGTCGCTGGCTGAGGTGAGCGAGGAAGTACCGGTGTCGTTCCTCTCCAATTGCGGTCTGTCCGCTACTGGCATAGCTGGTATAGAGCTGGACGCTGCACCGTTGGATAAGGAAGATTCGTCTGGTTTTCGCAATGTGTCGCTGGCCACTGCCGCACGCTGTTGCTCAGTGTAGATGGCCTGGAAGAACTTGGGGTCGGTAGAGTTGGTCGCGACACTAACGGGGTCGGAGGAGCGGCCTTGGCTCGGTATCGCGGAGGTCGTAGTAGGTTTCGAGGGACTGTTTGGTGATTCGAAATCATCGTCGGAATCATCCGAGTCCGCGATTATTCGGGCCGGAGCCATTATCGCGGTGTGGCGAGAAGATCGCGACGTGGGGAGGGTCGAGGCACGCGCCTAGCTCGGGGGCGAATTATGAAAGGTACTGTTGTGTACATGGACAAAGTCCCCCTCATCATGCTAGAGTGCTATCGTTATGGCGGGATACCCCTTTCGGATAACGCGATATCACGTGATACGTCTATATACATATCATGCTGCTCTATGATCGCCATGAGTCGGGTGTACGGTCCCACGAGTCTGGCCGTTCTACCTAGCCCGGATCACTTTAACACTTCGTTGAACCCTTCAATCAGGTCTCATACGGATTCGCTGACTAAACTACTCAATCTCTTCTATCCTAGGACGCTTCGTATTGACAGAAGGGAGTGATCGGTCTTGGTCGATGGTCAAGCCTGCCAGTCTCCCAATACTTGGTTCTCCCGTGTTGTATCCCGAAGCGACCATGGAGGACAGTTGCCAATTCTCCAAACTCTCAATCACATCTCGAGCGTGCTGCTGAACTAGACCATCATTGTCTGTGACTGCAACGTATTTCAGAGTCCGCGTAATGTCCTCCCGGCTCTGGTCGGTCAATCCGAAACCGAGCCTCCTACCTGATTGTTTGGCAGCATCAAGGGCCTTGACGAAGCCCAGAACAGCCAAGATGGCTGCACGCCGGATGATCCCTTTTTCGATTTCCCGCTCCAGCGCCAGCACATTGATGCAGAGGTCCACTGCGATGGACACGAGGTCGGGCCCAATGCCCGCAATATTGGTTTCGAGGCCGACGGAGAAGATCGAAAGAGCAGATGCTCGCATACGGACGTCTTCGCTGCCTCTCTTGCTCTCCCACCCCTCAACAATCTGGGTCAGTATCTCGTTCTTGGCCAGCTCTTCTTCGGTCAGATCATCACTGAGATCTGGAACATCCCCTCCCCACGCATCCTCCGCCTGCTTCTTCTTCATGTCCTGCAGGCGTTTTTCCCGGGACTGCTTTGCCTCCGTCTTTGGTCGATGACCTCGCCTTCCAGCAATCGACAGCAATGTTTCAGACACACGCCTCGCAACGTCACCGGCAAAAGTCTCGCCGAGGCGCTCGATCACTTGAACCAAGGCCTCTCCGAAGCGTAAGCGGACATCCGTTGACGAGGTTTCCTTCGAGTCCAGGTAATGCTCAAGGATCTCCTGTGTAGTTGCTTTGGGGTGTTTGTTCGCCAGTTGGGTCAGAAGCTTCACAACCCGGAGATTGATAAAGTCTTCGCTGTCTTGAAGTAGAGACGAAAGGAGAACGAGGGTGGCTTGCACGTCCAAGACAGAACTATCAGAGGCCACTAGGCCCGATATCAAGTTGATTCCCTCGGAGCGGATCGGCGGAGGATTATCTGCTTGAGTAATGTACTCCAGCGCAAGCTTGTACGTTCGCCTGTCCTCAATCTGCTTATCGGTAGGCACAAAAGCGCCCTCTTCTGCGGGATCGATAGCCTCACGGTATCTTAGCAAGAGCGTCAGGTTCTTCGCTGTAGGAGAAACTTCAGGGCGTCCCGCTGCGCCAAGTTTAGCAAGGGACGTTTCAAGAGCTTGTAGAACTTCAGTCTTCAGGTTTGACTTTTTGAAGCTTGGGGCTGTGATGACTAAGTTGAACAAGCTTAAAGCAACCGCGATGATGTCGTCAGACTGGTCTTGGAGGCCGCTGGGATCCAGGATCTGCGCCACCAGCTCAGTAACTTGCGTCACGCGGCTGATCAGCTTGTCTGGGATTTGTTCCAGCATGTTCTGCAAGATTGTAATCTCGAGAAGTTGCTTGATATCACCCTGAGCCTGGCTGTCTTCCGCTTTGGTGAAAATTTCTGGCTTTTGGGTTGTGACCGTTGATTGGAACCATCGGCCAAGGAGGTCCAGAAAGAAGGTCGATGTTTCTTCGGGCGTGCAACTCGCCGTCAAGAGACGTATGAGAGCCTCGGAGCGTGTCTGGATCTCAGTCCAGTCTAGTTCTGGGGCTTGTGATCCCTGGCCCAGCCGAATGGCACATATTTGAAGATCGCCGTCAGAATTCGATTGATATCGCCACTGCGGTGTTTTGGTATACTCTCCTTGATATAGCAGGTTATCGACGACCTCATGTAACTTCGACACCGAAACACTTAGTTTCAGGAATGTGTGAAGCAATGATCTCGATGGCTTCGAATATCGGTCCTCGGTTCTTTTGTTGCCCTTGCTCTGACACGATATAGCCCATAGTTGTGCGAGAACCGGGTCAAGCATTCTTTTGGTCTGTGCTGGGTACGGTGTGGAGTTAATCATCGACGACATGCGGCGCAATGTGATGAAGAGATCGTCGGCAGTAACCAGGACGGCCTTTTCACTCAAATCAACAATCTCGGTTTCTTCGGTTTTGATGTGCAGCGCAACATTGTTGCTTTTGCGAGATGGATCCAAGTTGCGCAACAGAGGCTCAACAAAGACATTCCACCCAGGTGTTCCTGAAGCAGCGTCAGCATGGCTTCTAGCCTCTGGATGAAGGCAAGGCTACTACCTGGTGCGCCAAATTGTTTCCTACCCAGTACTCCAAACATGATAATCTGTGCCGCTGCTACACTAAGTTCTGCCCCTTCGTTTCCGTCCAGCAGCACAATCAACTGGGGCGCAACCTTTGAGAACCAATCTTCAGGTGGTACAGTTGCTGGTGGGGAGGTGAGAATACGAGTGACGACAGCCATGGCTTCCTGGGTGATATTGGCGCCTCTTTTCTGAGGAGTGGCTGCCTCGGATGCTTTAAGGGTGCTGCTCGGGTGCACTGAGAAGATGAACTCCATGGTTCCTCTCACGCCGTCAGGTCGGAGAGGAACCAGGGTCAGTATCTTCATGAGCTCCGGTCGTAGCCATTCTGGCGCAATTTTCGGCTTGATCAAGGCGTTCAAGACAGGCAGTAAGTTCCAAGAGCCATTCCTAGTCCCTCGTCAGAAGGTTTCGCCTGACATGGGGCCTCACTGCACCCACGTACCCGTCGATGAGCTTTTGAAATTCTTCTTGGGCGGCTGTTCGAGAAGCAGCGTCGGATGACGGATCAAACGCCCGCTTACCGGTGCTGAGAATTTCATCGACTAATTTGGAGCGAGGGTCCTTTTCAGGTGTGCTTGGTTCCATCTTTGCTGGATGCAGAGTTGAAGATACTGGATTTACACTTGCTTTAGTAATTCAGCTTCGGGAGCCAGTAAAGTGCATACAGTGCGGATCTATTTTACACTGTCTGTCTCTTCCGAGGGTCACGTGTCTGCGCGTGCGCGACTACCATACGCGTCGTGTCAGTGCTCCTTCCCCTTCGTCTGGCACCCAGCGTGACCTTGGATTTCCACCTCACTTTTACAGCTCGGTTCCTCCTCAACACCTGCTGAAAAGCCAGCTTGACGCGTCTTCAACAGCAAGAATCACCACCGGATACGCAGCTTCCACCGGAGAATAATTCGAGATACGACCTTGGAAAACAGCTGCGTGCGCCTCGTCGCAGTCGGCAAAAGGAAGTTCTCTCGCCCGACATCCACTGCAACTGGACAAGGGCTCGCCTTCGCACGACACCTCTCCATCAGTTCTCCGACTCTCATTTTCCTCGGAATGTCTATCGTAGACCTCTCAGCCAGGGCTGACACCCCGTGATGCGTCGCATCTCTACCTGAATCAGGACATTGAGCTTGCCGCGGATGGAATCATCATGGCTTATGGTTGTCTATACCAGACAATTCAGTCCAGCTGAGAGAATGAGCTTCGGAACTTAACCCTAAGTATCCTTTTGGTTCAAGTCTTGCGCCCGCAGTCGTCGAATCTGTCTTTTAAATCCGCCCTGCTCCTCGATGCTACGCCGCTGAAAAGTGGTAACGCATTCGAGGGTCGTGGTGGATGGACTGGCAGGGAACACATTCCAGTCACCGTTTGGTGCGCGAAAGGGGGTTACTATGAGTCGTATGGGTAAGAGCCTCTGGTCTGAGGCCACTCGTCAGGACCTATCCGCTGGAACCAGAGCTCTGGCCAAGAATAGGTCGCCAGGAGAAGATGGCAGACTCGGCTTGCGGGGTCGAGCTGGCAACAGGCTATTGTCTTGGGGTGTTGCTACGGACAAGCGGAAGGAGCATTGCGTTTGCCACGAACGGTCAACATCGAAGTTTCAATCCATCTACAACCAGCCTTGGACTCCACTCGCCGGTCGTACGAAAGTACTGCGATGTTTCCAGGCCTACAAACAGAAACTTTTCGATCTGACGAATCTCATCGCCACGCCCAGCTCTCGGCACCCACTTGTTCAGTACACCACCCCGGGACTCACTCAGCAGCCAAGAAATTGCCAGCATCAGACTCAGCAGCCAGTCGGCTTCTCTCCGAGCCACACCCACGGCAGTTGCCACGGATGTGACATGTCCGCATGTGATCTGGCCAGGCGCATCAGCCTCCAGTCGTGGGTTCTATCCCACGGCACCGGGGGACGCCAAGTCCACGTTGATCCCGCCGGGACCCAACAGTTGCCCGGTGATGTTGCTCTAGCAAGAAGCACCGGATGAGAGCGCGGTTTTTCATGGATGTCTTTTGTCCGCGCGGAATGCCCTCCATTGCGTTTCGAGCACGGAGAGGAAACAAAAACTAGTCCAAGGAGGTCGTGCGTTTCAAACGGAGAGAGCTTCCGCCGAGTGCCTGAGAGCACACAGACTGGGATCCAATTCGCCGAACTCCGGGTGGCTGTGTAAGTGACGGTTGTGGCTCGTGAGTGGGAGACAACTCGGGCGACACACGCAAAGGCTCTGGGTGGGAGGGACGGACTGGCTGAACAGGTCTGAAGCGATACCGGGACCCATCTCGTGTTGGAGTCAAAGTTTTGTGCTTGTCCGGGATCGTGGAAGACCTGCATTGGTGGTCTATTCCCTGCCTCACCTAGGCCTCGGCACTCGTTGGACGAAAAAGGGCAGGCCTATGGACGGCAGTCCTGGTTGCCGTCTCTCCAGAAATGGCGAGATTGGCAACCCCCTTAACGCCTGGGGATAAGTCTAACCAAGATCCCCCAAGAGACAATTGATTCGGGTGCTAACATGGCTCAGGGCTGGGGACGGGAAATGAGTGGAGGGGAAAGGAGCTGGGTATACCATGGGTTGGTGCTATGCGCTCCAGGGTTTGATGACTGATAAAGAGAGAAACAGGAGATTGATCTAGACCACGGCGTCCAGACCTGATTTGAGGAATTTTTGAAATATCACAGCAGAGGCTTCACGGACAATCCTTGAAACAGACGCTGTGCACCGAAGAGAAGCATTTTATCTGACCTCAGACCAAGGGGCATCCCAATTGTTCAGTGCCATTTCGATTGTGGCTCTGGGCTGCAGTAATCGCAGGTTACGCGGAGCTATTCGCTACAGCCTGTGCTTATAGCCCCACCTAAGAAGCTTGATTCGCTGCCCCATTGTAGATCTGAAACCCACCAATGTGTCAATCCCGGACTACGCTCTTCCCAGCCACTTGACGTCACAATCTGCAAGCTAACCAGAACAGGCTTCATCTCACAGCCAACTCAGGGCAACTGGGAATCTGGGACAAGAGAAACAATGGGCTGCCACCTGCTATCTACGGAGTGCGGTCTACCTACCTTAATCAAGCAGAGGTAAGCACGGTCATCACGCCTAAAGAGACTAGGTGGGAGACAACGACCGCCGATCTCAACATTCTCCCACCCATTCTTTTCTTTCTCTTCTCCGCGCCACAGCCGTTTCTTCCGAACAACCTCAGCACGGAGTAGTCGGTTTTGTTGGTTCTGGGCTGGTGCCTCGAGTTATTTTTCTGTGATTATCGTTGCCATTGTTGCATCTCTAGCTACTATCACCGCTCGGGACTGACATCATCGTCGCTACCTTACCAAACGCGGTGATCACAACATCGCAAACCACACAATCCCATTCCGCCATGGCCCTGTTCCGTGCAGCTCTGCTGCCTCTGGCGCTCCTCCCAGCCGTTCTGGCTGCACCTGCACCGGTCGATCCCGCCCACCCAATGATCACACCCCCGCCGACGCGTGTGAAAAGAGAGCCTAGCTTGACGGACGACATCGACAGCTATGTCCACAGTATCCTCGGTGATGCTTCCTCCTGGGTAGCTTCTGGCATTCCTGCATTCTTCCAGGGCTTCCCAACTGGCACCGCGGTCCTCAGTTCTCTTGGTATCAGCGATGGTGACCTGGATGCAAAGCCTACCCAGATCTTGAATCTGCCGTGAGTACCAATAACCTGTCGCTGTGTGTATGTTTACAAGCTAATTCTGGGTTTGCAGGGCCTACGGAAACTGGACCGATGAAGGTTGGAATGTCCGCATTCACGGCAACGTCTTCAAACAGCCCAATATCAGCCAGTCCAAGGTCGACGACTTGGCCAATGTTTTCCTTATCGATGTCGACATCAAAGACCTGCCTGCCGACCAACAAGCCCAGGCACGCAATGTCACCGAGTCCATTTTCGTCGTCCAACAAGATGACCAAAATGTCACCATGAACTTCGTCAACGACGTCTCCGTGAGACCTGGTGCCAGCGGAGGAGCCGTCAATGCTCGTGGCGGCGCACAATCGATCAACTTGCCCTACTTGACAACGGCCGAAGGTGACTTTGACGCGTTTGTCAAGTTGCGCAACACCACAGGCTCGACGGGCGGCCACATGTTGCCAGGCAATGCCACGTCGTCAATCCAGACTCTCAACATGTACGCCAACGGCACGTTGACGGGCAACGCGACAGCCTATCTCGTCCCTCCCACGGGCTTCACCATCATCTCCGACATTGACGACATTCTCCGCGTCACCAAGATCTACGAGCCCAAAGAGGGCCTGCTCAACTCCTTTGCGCGCCCCTTCACCCAGTGGGAGAACATGCCCCAAATCTACGCCAACTGGTCGGCATCCATCCCCGACTTCCACTTCCACTACTTAACTACGACCCCCGAGCAGGTCACGCGCAACTACATGGAGTTCATCTACAAGACGTATCCCCTGGGCAGCTTCGACACTCGTCCTCTCAACTTCTCTGATGTCTCAGCGACGCTGTCCATCCGAAGATTCCTGCTTGACAAGATCTTCCAGACTTTCCCGCAGCGAAAGTTCGTCCTGGTAGCCGACACGACCAACTCCGATGTCATGAAGGCGTATCCCGCGTTGTACAAGGACTACCCGGGCCAGGTCCAGTGCATCTTCTTGCGAAACACCAGTGCCACCGACTCTGGCAACAAGTTCCCCTACAACACCGAGGGCTTCAAAGATATCCCTCAGAACAACTACATGTTCTTCAGAGTGCCGGATGACTTGACAAACCTGGACATTGTAAATGGGCAGTGTTATAATGCCACCATCCCGCAGAACGTCACTTTCAAGACGCAGGGCCTGCCGTTCGGGCTGGGCAACGCAGCTGGATCTCTGGCGCCACCGAGCACGTGGGCGGTGGCCGTCGTCATGTTTGGTATGAGTTTAGCTGCCTTGTTGTAGCGGTAAGAGGGAGAGGAACACAATGAACACACACGAGTAATGTTTTAAAGAGGAAAAAAAAGATTTCTGGTTTCACGTCATGTTGCGGTCTAGGCCCTTTCACCGCCTGTGTATTGTCTTGAAATATAACGTTTTTGCAATATGCACCATCATGACACGAGCGCGGCATTTCTTTCCCACCCCCCAAGTGAAGCCAAGCTAGACGGGTGGCCTATAGACGTTCATCTCACCGCCAATGCCACTCGTCGGAGTTGAAGCCGGGCGATGTGAGTGTACGGTTCCGTGTCGCGGCCCGGCTGAGGCTGTGCTGCAGATTTTGGGTTTTCTGGTAGGTAAGGAAGGGGTAGGAAAGGGGAAATTGGTGGCACTTTAGTGGACGGCATTGAAACTCCGTGGGGCTTCTGGCGAGAGGGAGTTCTGACGACTAAGCATCGGGCTGTCTGTCACTGCTAGAGAGGGAGGGATCTTCTGCAGGTCAACCAACGCATATGAGGTACATGCCTATCCAGTACGTACATGTGTACAAACTCCGTAAACACACATGAGAAACCACGGCTGGAATACCGTTCGCTTTTTGCCTCCTTGCCTAAACATCTGCGCCACCGTGCTTCTAATCTAGGAGCAAAAGGAGATTCGACAAAACTCCATGTCAAACAATCACATTATTACAGCATATATGAATTAATGTTGAACACTACTGTTTTGAGACATGTGTCGAGGTATTAGGGGTATGGAACAACCTTTCTCCCTGCCTTTGAACTTGTACATTGATTAGATGATGCTTATTTCCTTACTACGTACTCCCTCCCTTGGTTACTTACATACTCAGAAGGTGTACGTTGTCGCCCCCACCCTCCATAACAGAACCAATACATATGCATGCGCAACTCTTGAATCCATGGAAACCTCGACACTACTGCTTACCTACGTGCCAACAAACGCGGGTTTGTTCACTGAACATTGACGAGGCTACATGTAATACGAGCAGTCGGGCATGTCGGTTCTTTGCCGCCTCCCTCATTTTAACCGATATCTTTTTTTTCTAGGCAAGCCCCCATGTGAAAGAGGGGAAACTGGCCCGAAAGGGATGATGACATGACTTGAGGCGGATCAGTACGAGCACCACCAGTACACCAGACAGCAAGCTTGGGTATAGAGGAAATCCCATAACCGTCGGAAACCGAAAACAGCTTCTTTCTTTCCGAGCGAGGTGCCTCGGGCCATATGCTCCGGGCCGATCAAATTGACCTGAACTTCCGGGGGCGAGAGTCGGGACGGGGGAGGGAGGTGGAAGAGACCAATGTGGACGCAGGATAAACGGCCTCGCATATCGGCTGCCTTGTCGCCGCCGCCACCACGTTATAACACGCAATGTGAAGAGGTGCTGCGCCCAAGCTTCCAATGTCAATGGGGAATCAGATTAGTCAGGTGGGGGAGAAGAATAAGGAGCGGTCGATCGAAAGAGGCTGACAGGCATCAGCTGGGTAAAGTGAAGGTACTGTAGGTGTAGACGACGAAAAAGGTGGAGAGCCCTTTTTTTTTGTCAAAGGTTGGGGCGGGATAGGGTGTCATAGGCTGGTGTGGAGGAGGGGATAGTCTGTAGATGTGCGTAGGGTTTGACATCAGATGAGATTGATTGTCAAGGACGATGAATGAGTCGGAGTTCGGATAAGTCCGTGGCGAAAGAGTCATGTTAGCCATCTGTGAGACTGTAGACTGTAGACTGTAGACTGTAGACTGTAGACTGTAGACTGTAGACTGTAGACTGTAGACTGTAGACTTTGTAGATGTATGGCGTATTGCATTCATCGCGTACACGTAGACAGCTAGCTAGTGGCAGCATCGTAAAGGAAGCCTCGTATAGAGCCGAAAACGACGTTGCCGTCATCGATAGCGTCAAGTGGCTGCTGGTCGTCGCATCTCACCTCACCTCGCCTCTGCCACTGTCTCTGCCTTGTGCCGCACAATAGCTGTGGTAGTCGTCGCGTGCGCCCGCCCCCCCTTCTTTCCCCTTATGATCTATCACAGCCACGATGCGTGCTGACATGGCTGTCTGCCTGTACTGGAAGAGTTCACCGCATCTTGGCAACCCACCTGACCTTATCGCGATTCACGTGTGTGTTTGGGTGCTTGGCCGCCACCCAGGGTCCTGATTTTGCTGCTGTGTGCCAGATAGTATCCCAAATATTCGACAATGTCTGGGTACGGTACCTTTGATGTGAAGGTACTTACGAAAGGCGGATACCTGGTGTGGGACCATTTTCTAACGGTCGCGCCCAGATCAGACGGGATGCGCGCAGGGGTGAGGGGATGGTATGGGAGGGAGTACGTATTTGACGGAAAAGGGATATCAAGTCGCGACCGAAAGGGCGGGTTTCGGGGGTCTAGCGATGGTTGCGTTTGCCGTGTACGGTCAAGGTGTAATATTAGAAAAGTTGTGTGTGGGAAATGGAAATGAGAGACTTGACTTGGGTGGTGAAGGTACGGAGTACATACTTGGAAGGGGGGAGGTCCAAGAATCTCGGTCCAATTGAGAGCTCCGGTGACATTGCGGATCCGGGTTGCCGACCCCACCCGGCCGCATGTGGTCTGTGTCACCTCAACTCCACAGTCCCACCGTTCCGTCTCGTCGTTTCTTGGTGTGCCGCCCATCTCCAGCTACCACGGTATGTACGCCCAAACGTTGAAACAAGCCACCAGCAACAACACCACCGAATCCTACACTATGTGCTTCTCTGACAGTTCAGTCCTGCAGTCCAGACTGTCCAGTCCACCTCGTCCACCACCCTCCACCGGACCAGGCTCCTGACTCCTCCCTCATCCTCGGCTTTACCTGCCTGCCCTTGCAACCCCCTTCCCTGTTCGGTTTCTGCCTGCCGGCGGATGGTGGGTAGTTACCAACTTGCGCGAGTCGATTTGCAGCATATCTTGCGGAGCTATCCAAGCCGCACTTGGGTCTTCTACAGCATCCTTGCTCCCTCACTGTTGACGATGTCAGTTGAGACATGAACCAGCATGAAAACGGATTGGCGCTTGGCTGTGGCGCTTAAGGCGATGCCGTTACAGCGTCACTGATACCTGCCAGAGGCCATGACCGCTATTGAAACAGGCTGACTTTTCTGACAGAGCCATGGAAATGAGCCCATTACCCCATTACCTAGCTATTCACGCTATTGTTGCTGGTCAGGCCTCTCCTCCTTCACTGCATTAGCACCTGTCGGTGTTCCCATATCCCCGTCTGTGTTACCGTGACCATGTTACCGCCTTGAGTGAGAAACAGCCCCCAAGACCCCAAATGACCCTTGGCCCCCTTCTCCAGAGTCCAGATACCCATCTAGCCACCTAGCGCATCGAGTGACATATCGCTAGTCGCCTTACCTAAGTCGCTCACGATCGGCTGTCTTTAGTCTGTGCTGTTCATGAACATCATGTCTTGGCATGACTAGATGGCTACCCTTACTATCATGAGTCGCTCTACTTCCTATGCTCAAGACGATTCATTTGGTTTCATGATATGCATTCTCAAAGTCCTGCGAGTGCCTCCTCAGATCTCAAATTGGGTTTCCTGATTTAGAAGGCCGGTGATAGGCAGGTCTCACTCACAATACATAGTGCTTGCCTGTCTCTGGTCCACGAATACATTTGCCCCTTGATGTCTCCAATTTCCAATTCTACGTGGGCAAGCGAGACCGAGACGGAGACGTTAGCATAGCAATGGAAGGCAGCAAGGCTTATTGCCAGTTTCCCAAAAGGATACGGGTTTAAGACAATGGTACCTGAGGCCGCGCATGGCAAGCATTCTGAGAAATGAGCTTGGCACCTTCCGTGCCGATATATCCTTGTCGTCTTATTGCATTTCTGTCATCCACGGATGCAGTGCAGTTCTTTCTTGTCCACTGCCCAACTCCAACTCCAATCCAACACCAACATCAATGCCTGACGTCGAAACGGTCAACACAAGCCCGTATTGGCTCCGAGTTGTCTTCCATGCCCTCCCTTCCCTGCCTTGCCATATATCTCCGTTAGCAACAGCGTCAGGCAAGCGACCTGTCACAATACATGACTTGTTAGCCACACCAGCAACCTCGGATCATCTTTCGCATACCACGCAGCTGCGTGAGGAGCCAGCAAGCTAACGAGCATCAGCATGACCTTGACCTTGTCGACAACATCCAAGAAAGAAAAGAAAAGCGGTAGCCTCGGAGGCAAAGTTAGTTTCTTTCATGAGCAGACAGGCTCGTTTACAGGTCGGCCATCTCCAATCACATCTTGGCGATTGAGCATATCCCATCGGCAGGACGACTTCCAACATCATAGTCATGCCATCGAATGACTTGCTTCATCCTTCAATACTTTGCCACGAGGCACACACCCTCGAGCTTCCGCTGCAGGTGTTCTGATGAGATCATCGAGCCGGACCAGTCCAACTAAGCTCGAGTCGTACAAACTTGTCGAATCCGGTACCAGCCTCAGCCCGTATTGGTAGACGAAAACGACAACTGGCTGTGCAACCCATGGTTCCCATGCGAAAGACCCTGGCTCTGCTAGCTTGCCGGCATGACTTGGGATCCTTCGCCTGCTACCTACTATCACCACCAACTCGTCTTAGGTAGTGCCCGCCAACGAACGTTGGTTGTGGTTTCACTGGCGATTTGGTTACCCATTCGCAAGGCTCGAGTCGGGCCAATGCAGGCGCCCGTTGACCGCTGATGGCCGTTTTGCGCTCGAGTCGCAACGGGATGCGCTGACCCCGGCCTGCTGACAACGACGCCGCCTACTTCCGACTTGGTAGACGACATCCGATTCCAGAACCCCGCTTACCCGCGAACCTGGGCCCATGGCATTGGCTGTCTTTGCGGTATTGGAGTAGTTCTTGTCTGTCCAATCAAGACCTACTCACTCCACAATCGTAGGGCCAGGACCACGATCACGATCGCTGCCCATGCAAGGCCACACCCCCAGTGCCTGCACGCATGCCCTTTCCTGGTCGTTGCCACAGCGTGGCGAGTTGCTGGCCTGCTGCTCCTGGCCGTTAGTAGGAGTTTCAATCGGTCTCACCTAGCATCCAGAGGGCCAATTTGCCCGACACCAGTCCTTTGGCACTGCTTTATCGGTACAAGGCCGACTTGACAGGTCGTGGACTGCTGGGAAATGGTCTGCACTATTGAGTATACCCTCGGACGCTACCACATGGCTTTTTTTCCGACTCATGTTCGACATGGAAACAATCAGCCACAGGCCGGATCAGGCATACACATTTGCATTAGTCCCGTCGATCCAGGAAACATCTAAGAGAAAGAGCGTTTATTGCTGGCTACTGATGACCACTCGTTATGCTTTCAAGCCATGGGAACTCCTATCGATGCCAAAATTACCGCGAAAAATCCATATGGGCCAAAATCTTTGCCCGAGACCTGCCACGCCTGCGGTCACCCCGTCCTGTCAAGTGCCGATCGCTTAGTCCGTTCCATCGGCTCTGCGACAGCCTAGTCAATGGTCGAGACCGTCTATTCGGTTCCACATTCGGGGTGGCAGACTTTTTGGCCTTTTTTGCGGCTCTATTCCTGAAATATCCCTTCTTCGTTGAAGTGTCCCGGACGGAGTGAAGCTTTCAACCGACTCGGAGTTCACCGTCTACCGGTTGTACTGAGAACCTGTTAGAAATTGTTCCCGCGTTTACGATTCCTGCTTGACTTACGACGACACAATCTTCGCAGCGTGCACCATGAACGTTGACCCAACCAGGGCAGTCAACGCCATGCTTGTATCTGTTGACGCAGGGGTATCGGTCCATATTGAATGGTTCTTCGGAAAGGTTCGAGTCTGAAGGTGTTCGCTGAACAGCTGAGCGTTGTTGGTATGAGAGTCTGGATGAAGCTCGAGTCGTATTGCTGGATGTTTGTCTGTGTTTCGGAATGGACAAGCCAAGTTCAGCAACGAGTTGCGAGAGGGCCCTCTTTATACTTTCGAGGTCGGCCTTCGGCTTCTGGAAATCGCACAAGTCCTTCTAGTTGCCTACGTCTGCCTTGCACACTTGCAGGATCATGTTTACAAGAACGTCGAAAAGGTTGCAGTCTGCATGCTTACTGCACGCAGACTGCTAATTACGGCAGATTCTCCTTTGGACATAGAAAAGTCAATGACCCTCGCCTTGGAGCAACTACTCCATACCCACTTGATACTATACACCCGCACGAGGCGAAGCATGACTTCAACCGTGGCCCATGCTTCCACTGAAAGCAAATGTCGCGGATTGGCTGCTTCATAGACGTGGCTTGGAGAGAGCAAAAGAGGAAAATGAAAACTGACAGCAGAGTTGCAATGTCAGTTAACAACTTTCGCTACCCGGGTTTCCCGGTGGAGGGTAGTCCTATCCCCTCCTCGGCGACGTGCTGGCCCCTCAACCTTCTGGGTGGATACGCCAAGTATGCCTCTCAAGTCAAAGTCAGACATAATACTTCCATATAGGCGAGCTCGAAAGGATCCTGGCCGCTGGATCTCAATTTTCGGCTTGCTGCAGGGTATCGTCCAGAACGGACCCCGGAAGCTCGTGCGACATGAGACGCATCCAGGACGCCCATGAGGCTCAAAGGGGTGCAGTGATGGGCATCGTGATCTGCAGGAGCCCGCGACCTGACAGGCGGGGAGGGACGGATGTGAAGCCGTTGACACCACCAAAGACGCGGGCCAAGGTGTACAAGAAAATTCGTCTTACCAAGCACTAAACCAACCTTCAACAACGTTCACGCGGTCATTCTAGGGGTCCTTTCTGAACTATATTCCATCAAAACTCAGCCACTGAACGCCGTCCCGAATAACCGCAGATTTGGATGGTATGCTGCGGTACGGTACCAGGACGATGCGGAGTGACGGGCGGAGGGGTACCGGCGGCATATGCAGAGACTAATGTACTATCTTCTCCATGGCACCACAGCAGCTGCATGCCGGCCTTTTCAGTCTCGCTGACCATCCTGGTTATTCAGCTAATGCAGAGTCGTCCCGAAAGAGTCGAGCTGTCGAGGATCCTTCGCAAGAAAACCACGCGCCACGTTGTATCAGACAAGGCAACGCCGCCGTACTTCCCCTCATTCAAGGTTTGGAGCACGCAAACGTATGCACCATAAACTTGGGATCGAGAGCGGACGTAAGAAATCAGGAGACTTGAGGACAAGTTATGGCCGATACAAGTTTTCTGGCCTCTGTTGCCATAATAAATCAACTCGTCTATAGAGTTGGCCTATACAGCTCCATGTTTCACCGACGGTAACCTCGATTATGTTTTCCGTAATTCGAATTGGCACGGGACCAAGATGCTGCCGACCAAGCGACGTCTATCCATGGCTAGGGGAGCTTACTGGATCATTCATCAGAGTCAAATCCCAATCAACATACCAGGTAGTCAGCTGCGCAAATCGGTTCGACAATCTCCATCGCGTATCTGTACCTGGGTTCAACACGATGATCCTCGTACGAGACGACCACGTCGCTACACATGGAACAGCGGATCCCCATGATAGTCTGGCGGGAAACAGTGGGACAGAGCCCGTTGAAGGTATGCGTGTGGGTGTGAACTGCCTCGAAGGATACTTTGGGTATCTCCAGCAAGTCGGGTGGGACGACTCACCTCCGAGTACTGCGCAAAGCATCACGAAGCATGGTCTCCGCTTTCAACTGCCCTCAGAAGCGGTTCCATGATAGACGCCCGGATTCTTCTCGGTAACGTAGCCTCTGGACGGGAACTAAGTTCCGGGGAGTCTAAGCCAGACCCGTCCTGAGTTGCTTTGAGCGCCGTGGAAACTCATAGACGGCCCCTGAAATTTACGATTCGCCCGTTCCAGGTGTGCCGAACCAGCATTGACAGAGAGAAGAATGTCTGCCCAGCCAGCCATGGCGGATCGGCCGAGGCGTTTTTGTCTTTGATTCACGGGGCGGATGGCCGGAACATTTCGCGGGGCGCCTCGACAGCTCGTCATCTACTGAGGGGCTTTCGAGGAAGCCTCCCAGGAATTGCTGATAAGAACGACTACATGAGGAAAGCCGAAGTCATCGCGCAATTCCCATGACACATCTCGGGATAGAGCCTGGGTAGCTGGCAGCTTCCCCACACGGGCTATTGCTGTGTCACTGCCACTCTGGCCACCGGAACTACCCATCAACGACGGAGGGAAGTGTGAGCTATCACCAATGTCTTTGCTGGCTCGGGGACAGAATGGAACGCTCTGTCGTTGAATGGCACCTTGATCCGTTGGCTCAAAGATGTGGCGGTCCCAATGTGCGCGTAACTGCATCAAGCAAGCTATCCTAGCGGTGGCGCCAGAGCAACATGGCGTAAGTCATTAACTTGACGGCAGGGTGACGCCCCCCGCAAGATAAGAATGCAGTCTTTTCTGAGTTGGGAAAAGAAACTGTGATCTACGAGACATAGCATCATGCAGATATGGTCTCGACATCTTGGCTAGCATGCCTATAGGCAGGCTCCTGCTCATTCCTCCCGAAGAGGATGTAGGAGCAAGTAGCACTCGTCTGCTGGAGTGTCTGGCGAACTGGAGCATGGGGGAAACGGGCGCGATGACACTATTCCCATTCGGACTTTATTTATATCTCGGCGGTGATTCGTCGACAGCACCTCAACCCCTCTCGTTGAACGTCGCCTGGATGCCGAGCTCTTTTGTTTTCGAGCATGGGCAACGTGCGTGTTGTATGGTTTGGCCGCATACTCCGGGGCTTCCTGCAGATTCTCAGGCTGACGCGGTAGACTCGAATACCTCAAACTTGCCGACAAAAAAGAATTCGCGGATCGCCCCTGTAAGAATGGGTCGCGAATGTCGGCAGACGCTCTGCTGAGCTCAGAATTCCTTAACCAAGTGGTCATGAAGACGGGATGCAGACGGCTTTACCCGAAAGCATGGCCGAAGGCTTCGACAACGCTAGTCGGGATGTCACAATGACATGGCCTAGCGTTGTGGCTCTGTGAAAGTGATAAAGAGCGTTCCTGGCGTTTCAGTGGACAACCATCAGGGATAACCTCTGCTTTGACTCGACTCCTCTCTCTGGCCCCGTTCAAGTTTCAACTCACGGGTCCCCGACTTCGGTGCTAGGTGCGTGTGGAAACTTGAGTACTTGGGATACAGGAGCCTTGGGCGCAGTCGGACAGAGACGAGGGGCCGCCGTCGAGACAACAGAAGAGAGCCGACCTGGCGTCTTCTGCCTTCTTTCCAGAATGTCCAGCTGACGTTACATGTGCAGCAAGCGGCGGCATATTAGTGCCCACGGCTCGGCGAATGGACGGAACAACACTGGGTTGGTGTTATCCTTGGGACGAAGGTTGGGCTACCGGAGCACCGACTTCGTAATGTCCACAACCGGTAACATGCCCGTCGTCTCTTCTGGCCTCGCCAGCAATGGTCTCTGATTAACTTCTGGGTAAACTCGCCCACCCCTGAAAGCAGAAGCTCCATAGTCTTCGGCAAGTAGGCGAAGACGAAGCAAACAGCAAACGGTGGAGAGGTTCCCTTGCTAAACAGGGCGCCAAGCTCACCTGAAGAGTTGCCTTCGATGATACATCTGTGAAAGGTGAGCAACCGGGTTCACGGGGCTTCAAGTTACCACCCGTGGTCACGACGGGTCCGTCTGCGGTTGAGGGCATGGCCCAGGCAGGTCTAATGGCCAGTAGGTCGCCCTACAGTCCGTAGGAACCCGGGCGCGGAGACCCATGCATAGGCTACAGTACCAGTAGGACCTACCTTGGTGCGGCCCACGGCTCCCAGGAATCATCCAGCACGCACGATGCGCAGGACTGGAAATGGTGTCAAGAAAGACTTTTCACGCCCCTTCCCTTGCCTTATCCCCGCCGACTAGAGAGGATCCGCTCAGTCTCTTCAACCTCTTAGAAAGTCGACGGAGTAAACCCCGACCCTGGTTTTTACCGAATAGAATTTGAGTTGCAAAGAGGCAAGAGACAAGCAGGAGACAAGAGCCTAGCTTCAACTAGAGCGGCTTCGTTTCTGCAACCCGCAAAGTATGTTGAGGTGCCGAAGCGACTTGGCCTGGCACACACCTACGGATACCCATTGCAGAGGATCACCGGGGCTGTTGGGTCGTCCGCTCGCCTGTCTGACTTGCAGCGGAGGAGGAGCAGCGTCCTTACCTAGGAGAAGGGGCAGAAAGGCTGAAGGGGCAAGGAGGGGCCCATTCGTCGACGACCCCGGGACCCGGGGCTATGTACTGCGTGCAGCCATGCTAAACGGGACCAGAGACTTCCTACTTTAGCGGCCGCTGCATCCTGGCCAAGATTTGGGACGACTAGGTTGGCGTTAGTATCTCGGATCCGGACGGACGACAGTGGATTCCAAGAGACATGGGGACTCCGCCGTCTCTATGTCGCAGTTGCCAGGAAAGGGACAGGTTGAGTTGATCATTGACGTGGGCAATCAAGAGATCGAAGAGTTTTGACACTATGGAAATTCGGTGGGGGCTTTGGAGAAAACCAAATATTGCCCATGTCTCCAGTACTGTCCAAGCGATAGTTTGGTGGCCTCTCTTCTTCAGCAGCAGGACTCGGAGCACAGTCTCTCTCTCAATCTTTCCTCGCCTAGCTGACTGACACCTGGATACCCTCTCGAATCTGCTCGGTACCTTTACGGCGTGGATAGCAGGCGTTTACGAGGCGTCGTGGCTGGCACTTACATCAACACTCGAGAAGGACCATCGAGATCCCCGCTCGCTGGCTGTTTTTTTCTTGTCTTCTGCAGGTTTTGCCCGGCAAAAGAGGGGAGAGGAGTCAAGTAGGAGGATCTGCAACGCAACTAGGGAGCGAACGCGGAAAAGGGGACCTTGCATCTGCCCAGAATTTGATGCGTGCTTTTTGGTGCGCTTCCGGCTTCCCTGGTGTTTCTCGCCTGAGTGGGTTACTGTGTATGTTCCAACGTATCATGGCCCGCCTCAAATGTGGCTCGACAGCGTTGGCTTCTTCCTCTGCTGGCTGTTCTTGGTCCGTCATGGGACGCCGGCCGGCGGGTGAACGGTAGACGCGGTTCCCTCGCTCACTCCGCCGCGCCCACGTCAGACGGTCAGACGCGGGCCGTCTCCGGAGCGCCATCAGGCCAGCCTGGAACGATGTGTCGCCTACCTCGCCTGCGCTATCGAGATGAAACGAGTTGTTGAGATGGTCACCTGCGATCGAGCACGTGTCTGAACTCGAGGAAAACGATACAACAAGCGGGTTCTTGGCGTGATATCCACAGTTGCGAAAAGCCTCGTTTCTTTTTTATTTCATGTTCTCCCACGAAAAGACCAAGACACAGAGTGATACCGTTCTGCGAGTCAGACTGCGAACCGGGGGCAGATGTTCTGCCTTGTTCCGACCCGACAGTCACCCATGGACGATGGACCTCAGGAGAGTATTGTGGATTTGTGCCAATTTCATCACAGTTTTCTCTTTTGACAATCTGGTCACCGAGGCTTAGCCAGGTGCCCCCATCGCCATTGCATGCAGAGACAACTGGTAGCTCGTCTGTAGTACGGAGACACATGTTGGCTGCTGCATCCACACGCTTCTGTTACTGCCTGCCGCACGAACATGGCTGGGAATTGGCTTGCTGTATCTGTACGGATACTGTCCCACATTCATTAGAGGTAACGACATGACGCTCTGATTCGCCAGGGCAAGGGAATTGGCCGGTCGGCACCCAATCACTCGGTGCCCCCAGACGGAGCGGTATGCTGCCGTACGGCGTGCCACAAGGTTACACTCTGTCCCTGCGAGCGGATTCAACGACGGCGACGGTAATAGCTTTTTTTTTTGCCATCAGGAGACAAGGACCCAGAGGGAAAGTGGACTTGAGTTGACGTAGGTAGGTCATAGCCTGCCGTTGCATGAGGTGAGGGAATGGATCCTCACTCGTAGCAGCTGTCGGGTCTGACAAAACGGGCAACGAGAATAGCCCGGACGAGAGACGCCCGCCCACCGGGCAGAAACTTCCTCGGATTCTTGAGACTGCCGTGGGTGGTTCCTCAAGTCCTGATACCAGGGAGCGTGTTCTTTGACCGCTCGATATGAAGGACGCATGGTAAGGAGGAACGACGCGCGACGATGCCGTCTGATGGGCGTCTTCCTCAGCATCGGCATCGTTCCACATTGAATGTGGGCACCTTTTTTTGTTTGATTCAGTGACGATGGTGTATCATGTATGTCCATGTGCGTACAGATACATCGGCCTCGACATACCGTTTAAGAGCTTTACGTAAGTCCTTGAAACGGAAGGTGATACGATTCTCAACGTTCTAGCCTTCTGGGACCTTGAGCTTCTTTTCGACGAGTGAGCCTAGACTCTGCGGCGGTTGGCTTGATGGTTTCTTTTTTTGCCTTTTCCCGCATGTTCGTTCGTGTAACTGCCACGCGATGCGTGCGATGCAGTTCTCAATCCGCCGAACAATCCAGCGGGCCGTCTTGAAGATTGGTGTCCAGGTATCGAGCAGCAGCAGCCCAACGCCGAGTATAGCTGAATCAAGAGAGAAAAGCAGCAGCTTGCGGCATTGGCAAATCGCTTGGATGCCGTCAAAAAGCCCGCCGCGGCGGTCCCTTTGGTGAGATTTGATGCGCTGTCGTCCAACTCGAGTTTAGACCAGACGATGTGGGAACGGGGATTCGTCGGTCATTCCAAGTGACAGGCACGCTGGGCCTCGGGTACGTCACCAGCGTTTCCATAATTTTCCTGTCTTGCTCGTTTCCGATTGCTTCCCTACGTGCCTACGGAGTACCAACTCCAACTTACCAAGTACACACCCCTCCCTCCCCTTACATGTACCCTCGAACCTCGACCCCTAGTCCCTCAGTCCCTCATTCCCTCATCTGCTCGTCCAGACTAAAGACTGGAAGGACGGAGGTGGTCCGTTGAGATCCATTTCACTACGAAGAAGGGATCCTCTCGATGTAACCACTAACCAAGTAGCTTCTTGAACCGAGTTTTCGATGCAACTGGACCATCTCCCCCCCCCCCCCCCGTTACCTAAGTACCTACCTGTCTACCCGGCTAGATACCACGGTACGGGACGCATATGTGGGCAAACAACTGAAATCTAAATATTGCTTAGTCAGGTCGCAGTTCGTCAAGGGACTTTGTTAGCCGTACGGTCCGTACCAAGAACCGCGCAGAGTCTATCTGGTTTACCAAGCAGAGATGAAAGGTTTAACCAAGCGCATGGTACCTACGTTTTCGTCATGAGCTGGCCCCTTGATGGATGCTTGTGTAACCGAGACCCTCCCCAAAAGACTAAAAAGACCCAACCATAAGGTTCAACCGTTCGAGAGAGGGCAATGATGCAGGGTCGCAGGGTTGATTCCTGTCCCTCGACTCCCCGTGTGTGTGTGTCTCTCTCTCTCCATATCGTGCGCTGACATTCTCTGAAGCGGGGGGTGGGGGGATAATACAGCCAGCCGATACAGCCAGCCACTTCGGCCCCCAAAAGGTCTCTGGGTGATTCCAGAAAAAAGAGAATCTTCCCATGCATCAATGCGGACCATTATAGCGCCGCTGATGGATGGGAAAACGTGTGTATGTACACTACTTGACTACAGTACCTACGTCTGTCGAGGCCCAGCTGGGGGTTCTTGCTCACACCGATTCGATGCCGCTACTGCGGTGAAGAGATGTGCGCCCAGATCTTAGGTGTGTGGCCATGCTCTCATCCGTCATCATGGCGCGATTTCTCCTGCGATGGTTGTGTGGTTGCAGGGAAAAAAGAAGACATTTCTCCTTCAAAGTTTACACTACCACGACTACCTAGTGTCTTGTACGCCTTTTTCCCTTCCATCCATCCAATCCATCCATCCATCCTCTTGCCCACCCCTGTTCCTTTTCGCCCTGCAACACGCTCGACCCGACCTAGTCTTCTGCCCTGCCAGCGCGCCATGCCTTTCTTTGATACCAGCCTGCCAGGGGGGTACTCTTGCACCCTTAAGGGTCCAAAGGCAAAAAGTCCCTCGAAGGCATCTCCCTGTACCTACACCGTTCCTGTGTAGCGAGACAACGTCTCTCTTTCTCAATCTCTCTCTGTCTGCCGCTGCCGCTACCGCTGCTGCTGCTAAGCTGGTCTACCACCCTGGCGGTGGCAGCTCCGATGGTGTGGTCTAGACTCTTCTATTTCGCGCAGCAAGTGTGGCCACTACTGCGCGAATGGGTGCCACCGCGGGATCCCGGAAGAAGGGGCCCTGCTAGGCTCTCCGTCTCTTCTGGAATGGATTTTTTTTTCTTCGTTTGGTAAGGTACTTGATGATGTGTATGGCGAAGCCGGACTGGATGAGAGTGTAGATGCAAGTTTGCATCATGATACATGATATGTGGTTTACGGGCCTTTTTTTCCTTTTTTTTTTTTTCCTCTTCACTCTCACGACTCCACGAGTCACACTCACAC